GTAAAAACACATCAATTGTTTACCCAATTCAGTGTCAACAACACCTACATCTGGGGGCTATCAAGCTAGGGAGGAACTTCATTATCAGCAGAATTAATTCAGAGTCAAACAACACAGTTTGCACTCCTCACTTAAAACCTACCCAATGACAATTCAGCCTAGAGACACTCTAGACCTGATTATATCCATTCACTCCCCCTTAATCACACCACAGTGATATATAACTCACAATTACAAAACAGTTGTAGAGATACACTCCAAACACACCTTGATCTTGCTTCACAGCTTTGATCAAGGTACACACACTCTTGCTTCACAGCTTTGAGTGAGACACAACTTAGAATCTACCTAACCAATGCAATCATCCAACAGACAATTGCTTGGAGTACAAGTATTCCTAAGACTCATTTCACACGTGAAGACTATCCGTCTTCACTCACAAGGACTCTGCAATATGCACTCTCTATTCTTCTGTCAAGAGCTGCTGTTCAGGATTGCTTCTTATGATATTTATAGCAGTTGTCAGTCCTTTTGGGCCTTGGTGCATAAATTAGGTTTTATTCATAACAAACCTATTTTCAATGATCTTCACGCTTGCCACTTAATTCAAGGATATTTTAGTTCGCCTAGGGCTTCTAGAAAATCTCCTGATATCCAGCTTGAGCTCCTATTCTATTTCCTGGTTTCTAGCTACCAGAAAAACAAACCTGCACTTGATGTCATACGACCCAAGTCATAACATTGGGTATGACATCCAGCTTAACTTGCTTTTAGCTAAGTCAAGTTACCCTGCACACACCATATTATGTATGCACTAATATCAGTCATGACATACATACATGCTCTAGTGTTTTGCCACAAAATGCAGCCAATCAAGAGCACTTACAAATTTGAAGATAGAGACTGGAGTCAAGCTCTAACTCTACCTCTTAAAGGAAATAGGAAAAGACGTAATCTTATTGCTTCTTGAATGACACCATTTGCTTTTACAGTGTCGGCATATTGAACAAAAACTGATAAATGTAAGTTTGGATCGTCCGTAGGACTACCTGAAAATTGGCTCTATTGAACGGCTTGTAACAATGAAGGTTTCAACTCGAAATCATTTCGATTGATTGTTGGGGCAGCAATGCTGTTATGAGGTTCATCTTACGATGGAACAACAAAATCTTTCAAGGGGCGGGTATGTGGTCCTTGAGCCATGATTTATTCTGGTTCGGTTTCGGTTTCGGAATCTGAATAAGGAATGATAGGGTCTGGAAGGTTATATCTAATATGGAATTCTTGAATTCGGCACCTTAGGCTAACAAAAGCGTTTTATTTTCTCAACTAGTTGCTCTAACTCTTCGCCTTGAGAGCAAGTGCTTGGCATACAATCGACAGATTGAAAAGATAACTAGTTGCCATAGCCTATACTGTGCAACAAAGAAATCACAATATTGACTAAAATTAATCCCCGGCAGCAGCGCCAAAAACTTGATCACGACTTTATGCGTTGGTTAGATAGAACTGCAAGCATACAGCGTATCATGTAGTTTTAAAAGATTGTCGAAGTCACAGGGATTAATAATCAATCTAAAGTGATCTATATTTCGTTGTAAAGCTAAGGCTTAATGTCACGGAATAAAAAGGGAAAGAAAAATAACTAATACTGACGGGTTTGAAACAAATAATGAAACGAGACTGAAGAATGATTTTCGCGCTCCTAAGGGACTCTATAGATTTCGGGTACTAACAAGGGTCTCAAGTATAGTTCTGTATGAATTGCCAGCTTAAAAACTCAACACTCTCGCGCTATTGGCCAAGCCACACCTAATAACCTCAAGATTTTTCTCTCGCTCGCTCAGTAGTTAATAGACGTATTTTGAAAACTAACAAAGCCTAACTGAAGCCTAAAGCTCTCTTGTTGTGTTTAAGTCCAGTGCTCAGTGTCTACTATCTGGTGATTACCTCAAACTCTCGCTCTATTGGACACACCTTAATGCATTTCTCACTCTCGTGACAAAACTCTTTTAAGCGGCTTCTCTCTCTCACAACAAAGCAACCTAAATTAGAACTAGACACTAAAGCCAGATTATAAGACATGCATAATTAATACCGATGGTGTCTACAGAGTCCCGTCGAAATGACGGACCTCAAACTACTAGCTCAGTCAAATTTAGCCCGACATATTAAATTATAAGACTAACATGTTGACATTGCTAGAACTTAAAACATACATGTCAATTAATTCTAAGTGAAAATTCAGAATTAAGTTTTTGGGGTAAAATTTAGTTATATAGCAGATACATGCAAATAGTAAAGCAATAAATAAATGCAAGAAGTAATAACTTGTAAATTGCAAGGAATATAAACTGAATCGAAACTTTTATTAACTTAAACTTTGATCCAAGTACATCAGTAACAGCAGAAAAAGGAAATACAATAGTGTAACAATTGCTCAGTGTAAACAATTGTTACTGTGGAAAGTAAATATATAGTTCGGGTATAGAATTCGGCAGCGCTTCCATGGGGTTCTTGGATATGAAGTGCAGGCCTCTGGATTCCTATTAATAGAGGAATTTTGGCTCCAAGAAAAGAGGTTTGAATTCAAATTCAAACCAAAGAAAACTACCAGAAACTGCCTCTGAAAACTACTCCCGCTAGTAACGGCGATCGCCGTCTCCTAATGGCGAGCGCCATTTGCTTGAATCAGAATTCCCTCCTTCTTTTGAGCATGGAGAGCACCATTTGGATGAAGGGAGACACATGGTGAGCGCCATTCAGCTAGGAAGAGCCAGAACTTGTGATTTTCTTCACTTTTCCTTCATTCTTCAGCTTACTTTGATACTTTTCTTCTACATGACTGATATGGCACCTGTCAAAGCAAAACAAAGGAAAACATAAGAAAATAACAGAGAAAACGGTAAAGACTCGATAAAGCAACAAGTAACAATACGCAAATTGAATCGAATTAAACAATACGAAATCGAGTCATCAGTCTGTCATCCTTTTGGTTCCAAATTGTGCGAGTGTTAACTATCATCCTTTTGGTGATAGGTCTATCATCTTTTTGGTGCCAAATTTGCGTGTGTTCTCTATCATCCTTTTGATGATAGACCCACAATCCTTTTGGTGTCAAGATTGTGTGCGTGAGTACCTATCATCCTTTTGATGATGGGTCTGTCATCCTTTTTGTGCCAGATTGTGCGTGTGTTCTCTATCATCCTTTTGGTGATAGACCCCGCCACCCTTTTGGTGTCGGGATTGTGTGCGTGAGTAACTATCATCCTTTTTGTGATAAGCCTACATCCTTTTGGTGTCAGATATGTGTGTGTCGTTCTATCATCCTTTTGGTGATAGGTCTGTCATCCTTTTGGTGCCAGATTATGCGAGTCTTAACTATCATCCTTTTGGTGATAGGTCTGTCATCCTTTTGGTGCTAGATTTGTGTGTATTCTCTATCATTCTTTTGGTGATAGACTCACCATCCTTTTGGTGTCGGGATTGTTTTCGTGAGTAACTATCATCCTTTTGGTGTCAGATATGTGTGTGTCGCTCTATCATCCTTTTGGTGATAGGTCAGTCATCATTTTGGTGCTAGATTGTGCAAGTGTTAACTATGATCCTTTTGGTGATAGGTCTGTCATCCTTTTGGTGTCAGATTTACGTGTGTTCTCTATCATTCTTTTGGTGATAGACCCACCATCCTTTTGGTGTCGGGATTGTGTGTGTAGGTAACTATCATCCTTTTGGTGATAGACCCGCCATCCTTTTGGTGTCAGAGTTGTGTGCGTGTGTTTACTATCATCCTTTTGGTGATAGATTTGTCATCCTTTTGGTACCAAATGTTGTGTGCGTGTGTTCTCTGTCATTCTTTTGGTGATAGATCCATTATCCTTTTGGTATCGGAGTCGTGTGTTAACTATCATCCTTTTGGTGATAGGCCTGTCATCCTTTTTGTGTCAGGTTGTTTCTGTTATCACCCTTTTGGCGATAACGACCTTTGTAGGGTATTCAGTGTCCACTCGAGGGTTGACATTGATTTGTATTCTACTTCCCAAACATTATCTTTCTTTTTGGACAAATTCAGAGTCTTCTTCATATCTAATTGACTTGTACCTCGAAAGAAAGAACATCGTTGCAGTTCATCTTACTAGGTTTAAGCCAATTAGATAGGGGCATCTGTCATACCTCAAGTTTGTCACACTTGTATATATCTTTCATCTGTACTTCCATCAACTAACCATTATTCAGATAATATAAAAAATATATATTGTTAAGCTCAATTTGTTGTAAGGATATATAGTCAAGAGTGTTTGCAGTATGGGTTGAGAATCGTCTTGGTTTGACCTAATCTCTCAGTCAGGCAAGGGTCTGTTTCATAATCGAGGTCAAGATATGCAAGATTTGAGTGGTATGAGCCCGGCGTTCTAGTTAGGGTTTTTGTGTGGATTCAGGTTGTCTATAGATTGGGATATTAGACCGTGTTGAATTTAGATGTTACATGATCATTAGGGAACAATTTCTTTTTAATAAGGGTTTTTGGGATAAGTTGTGATACAATTCATGTTTTAAGTCTTCAAGGCATATCACTGATTAAGCATTTGATTCATGGTGGTGCAAGTGGAAAAATTAAAAGCATTGATTTAGAGATTGATTCATGGTCGATTCCATTTTCAAAGTTAATTCATGCTGCACTGGTTTCTCGTCCAGAATTTTGGAATTTGGGTTCTAATGGAATTTCAAGATTAAATTTTCATAGTTTTAAATCAAGAATTTCAAGATGATTCCAAGTTTTGTTCTAGAGTGAGGTGCAAATATTGCTTCAAGGCCCATTATCATTCAAGTCATCCATCAATTTCCAAAATTTGTTTTCAAAAGTGTCAAGAATTACAAATTATACAATACCAAAAGCCAAAATCCTCAAAGCCGATGTTTTCTCTTAAATTCTACAAACCAATACACTTTCCAAAAGAAAAAAATAGAAAGCCAAATAATATCATTTAAGGTCCATCAATTTACAATTTACAAAAAAAAAGTTCAATTTGTCTCCATAAAGGCCCATCAAACAATTTCCAAAAGAAACTACTTGAGCCAAAATTCTTTCTTTCCTCATGACCTTTGTTTCCACGCATAACCTCCAAGCCAAAGCAATGTTCTGTTTCCAATCTGTATATGCATAACACATACGCAATGTAAAAAACAAATAGTACCAAACATCTTACACAACAAAACCAAACCATTACTCATAGAATACAAAATTTCAGGCCCCACACCAAGCCCATGATTCTACATGCTGCAACTTGCATCTTTATCCTACTAAGCCATGATAACCGAGCCTTCACGCATTCTACGCTTTGTAAATCTCAGCAGCCCAAACACAAATAACAGCCAAAGAAAAATAATTTTCACAAATACTATATTTTTTCACACACAATGTCAACATACAGGACCACCATATGAATCCTGCAGAACCGTTTTTCACAAATGAGGTGACCCCACAACAAAATTTCCACAAATCACACAAACATGACGCAACACACCTGCGCGCAAACGGAAAAAAATCTCCAAAACATCATGACCACACAAATTCACATAATGCGCAACAAAACGCAAAAACGACACTACCCGAAACGCTGCAGCATCGTTCAAATCTCACAACAAACCCTAATCCTATAAATTCCACTTTTTCTCACTTAAAGAAGAGTTCTAAGAACCATCATTACCTTGCCAAATCTCCACCCAACCTTTATACCTATGAACCCACAAAAAACCCACAAACAGTTCTAAAACCATTCCCAAATCATAAACAGATCATGAACCTGACCCGAGAGAGAGAGATTGAGGAGAAGAAAGTGAAACTATTCAAGACAAAACCAAATAAACCTTTACAAATATAGAAACGAACCTGAGACAAACCAATTTCAAATTCAACGTGGTTTGAAGATGCGATTCAGAGGAAGAAGAAGATTGGACCACGTTGCTTTTCTTCATCATGAAATCATTTCAATTCGATTCATTCTTTTAATTTTTGTTGTTGTTGCTTTTAGTTTGTGAAGTGAAATGTGGTGACAAATCCTGATCATGAGCCGTGTGTTTTTTTCAACTTGTTTTAAAAAAGGGGTAATAATGAAGTGATGGTGAAAGCCATGAAGTTATGTTGTTTGGTGTTCTGAGAAAATTTGGTTTTGACTTGATGATGTTGTTATAGTGACCTTGGTTATATTGGGTTCAAAGTCCATGACTATTGTATTTTTTTCACACTCCTATCCAAACTGCCTTTTTTTCTCTTTTCTGACTATGTACTTTTTTTATAACCATGCCATTCTGTTGTGTGTGTGATGAGCCTTGCAAAGCCCATGGTGGATCCTTCCCGTTCACACCCGTTCTATGCCTTGTGCCTCCCCCTCTTTGATGTTTTTTTTAATTTGTTTTAATAATTTATTTTCACTATTTTTATTTTTTTCAATATTTTAGATAATAGTTTTTAGTGTTTTATCATTGGTTTTGTCTACTTATTCTTGGTGTTATTAATTAATTTTATTACATCTTGATCCATCTATCTTATTGTTTCATTTCTCACTTCAATTTTATTTTCATTTTTTGGTCAATGAAAGCCTTTAATATTACGAATGTTGATTGATTGAGGTTGTTTAACCTTCATTATCTCAAATCTGTAGAAAATGATCATTGGGATCATTTTCTATACTTTGAGATCGTGATAGGTTAACTTTGATTAATCAACGAAAGTTTGTGATTAAGACGAAATCATTCGCTTTTCGATCCGTGTGACACGATTACATTGGAAAATGATTTTCAATATCATTTCTCTATCGTGTTTTTAGCACGGATATCAACTTGTGTAACCTCCTATAGTTTGATCTTTGTCATAGATCGAGCTACGACGGTTTAGCGTTACATTTCGTCCCGATTCAATTCACATCAAACTAACGACTAACTTTACTTTCCGTCAATATACTCTTGTTTTATTTTCAGTCATTATATCTTGATTTTATTATCTTGTTCTTATACTTGTTAATATTATCTTGATTATACTATTATGGATATTACCTTGATTATATTGTTATATATCTTGCCATATTATTCACATTGTTCATATTGATATCATATTCATATTGTTCATATCTTGTTCATACTTTTCGAAAACACATTAATAATATCGAAACCCTAAAAGTCTAATTGGTGGACTGTTGGTTACTTTTTCGATCAACGGAACTTGGACTTTATCAGAACCCCTAACTTGGAGCTTTTGTCTGAACTCTTGTTCATGGCTTAGTTTAGGATACCTCGCCCGCACACGGATTCCTCTCAGGCTACCTGATAATGATACCTTTTATTTCATGCAATCCCGTGTAACTTACATGTACCCCTCTCCCATTCCGATGTACGCTTTCGTATTTGCTTTGATTGTGATTTTTCTTCTAGGAGCACCCTTAGGGACTAGCGTAGACTAAAATGTTTTCAAACTAATTCTCGATTCGTCATCGAGCCATTTCAAAATAGCCCTGTAAGTCGAGTGCTCGTACGCATTCGCCATCAACCTATCGCACACACTTTCACATTTCATCACGATTTCGTTATTAGGAGAACCCTTAGGGACTAGTATCGTTTCTCACAACCTAACCCTTGACTTGTCGTCGAGCTTGCTCCATTTTTAACCAAAACCTTGACTCTTCGTCGAGCCATTTTCAAATCAACCTCCTTTCAACCAACACATCATTGCACGCAAATAAAATCAAACCCTTGATCCAACTTCAGATGGCTTTTCTCAATCAAACTATCAAAATAATTAACAACTATCGAAACTCTTTCAAGGTGAAAAAGAGGATTGAGGCTTTGATCTCTCTTCAGTTGTTTGGATGCGAGTTATCTCACTCGTGTGTGAGCAATTGATTCCTCTAAAACATTTCCAACTCGACAACATTTAAACCATCTTCCAACCACTCATCATTCCAAACACCATTCAAACACAACTTCTTTTCAAGATGAAAAAGAGAGAGAGTCAAGTCTTTAACTCACTCTCCCGATTACTTGAGCCCGAGGAGCCTCTCTAAAGTTTCGAGTAATTATCATCCAAACCAACTTCAACTCAATTCAACCTATCTCTTTTCATGGTTGTCTCCACGAACTACGTACGCTCTGATTCTTTGTTCTCATCTGAATGTAAGATATGTAGGCACAAGATTGCGATGATATTGGCAAGCACAATTCCCTCCATCTTCCATTTCCCCTATCCTTTCTCATAGTCGAACTACGAGAGCTCTAATTTCTCATTCTTCTCCGGATGAGCATACGTAGACACAAGGGCCCCAATCCTTGGCAAGCACCATATCCTTAAACCACCCATTTCCCCTGGCATTATTATCCCTTTTATCTTATCGCTTAAAATTTATCATTGAGAAGAAAACAAATAAGCTTAGCTAACGTTCATCACAATTCGCATTAAAAGTTTCCCGTTGAGTATAATGGACGTGAGGGGTGCCAATACCTTCCCCTTGCGTAACCGACTCCCGAACCAGGAACATTGGTTGCGACGACCATGTTCTTGTCCTTCGTTTTAAAATGTTTTCTCGGCATTTTCCTTTCCCATATTTTTGGGATAAATAAAGTTCAGTGGCGACTCTGTCGAACCGCATTCCGCGCCTTTAGCGTGAGGGTCGTGTTTCCGAATTATCTATATGATTTTTTGAGGTGCGACACACGGGCGACCGCGTCAGCCCCCTGGATTCTCACTTTCTTGCATTTTTTTCTTGCTCAGGCATATCATCCTGACACGGCTTGTGTCAGGCAACATGGGTGGTCGTGTCAGGCCTTCTGTAACTTGCCAATTTCATTTCCGAAAACACTGTATTGTCCATTTTTTCTCTCTGAGTCTTCCTGAATGCTTACCTGAACCTAAAAAGAATGGAAATACAAAACAAAAGCATAAAATGCGATAGAAGGAAATAAAATGTAACTAAACATATAAGAAGATTACCTAAAACTAACGGTAAAATAACACATAAAGACCACTTATCAATGTTTGAATACTATGATTTAGCATACATTTCATGCACAATTGATTGCTTGTTCATTTGGATGGTTGGATAATTGAGCTGCTGCTAAAAAGTGCTTTTGGATGCTGAATTTTTTATTCTGCCCCAGTGTTAATCGGTTAATCTCCTGGTGTTAACCGATTAGCACAACTTTTGAAGGTGTTTTTGGCTTATTTTCATAGTGTCAACCGGTTAACCCATTAACACTGTTGCAGAATGACATTTTCTTTCATTTTCAAGCATGTTTGGATCCCTTTCCATCCTTAAACCTCATGGATTGATATGATGCATCTTTATGGACTGTTTTTGAGTTGTTTCATCATTCTTGATAGCATGCTTGTATTTCTTCGACACGTGATTTTTGGTTTTTCAATGATGAACATTTATGATTGTTGTGTTGCATTCTCGGTGTGATAATCATGTTGTATAATCATTTGTACCATGTCAATTGCTGGTTATTGATGCTTATATTGTTGGATGTATTTCAATTGCTCATGTTTGTTCCGATTCCGCAAACGCATGATTGTCCGAATGATTAATTGGTGTTGAATATGCATGATATTCTTGATGAATGATTTTTTGCGCATCGAACTTGTTTGTGCTTAAGTGTTAATACATGTTCATGATTGATCTTCACTATGTCATATGCTTTCATTGCAATGTTGATGCTATATGCTGCATGAATTTTTACACCTACTGTTCTGGATTTTAGCATGTTGTTAATTGTGCATCTATTCTGCCTTCTACTTTTTATACTTGTTATGTGTTGAAAAGTGAGATGTTAAATGCAGTTGTGCTTAGTTCCTGGGTTTTTATAGATGTTCTGAAGCTGGAGCGTTGTTGTAGCTGCTATTTTTGTTTTGCTTTCCTTGTTTCTTTTGTTCTTGCATGCTTCCTTAAGGCCTCTGAGTCCAACTTAATTTTTGATTAAGATCGGAGTAGGATAGACATTAGGAGTTAATCCATGCATGATAACATTAGGTTAGTCATTTTTAACCTCAACCTTAGGTCCACTTTTGCATGCTAACATTAGGATAGAATTTCCTCTCGCATCCCGACCTTAGGGCCATTTTACATGACAACGTTAGGACCGAGTTTCCACTTATACCTTTCGTGCGTCTTTCTCTTCTTCACTCTCAAAACAAAGTCAAAGCACTAAGTAAATATGATGTGCATTGTGCGCCACGAGTCTTAAGAACATGGGAAAAGATGAGCGGATGCATTTCTAACCTCGTCTTAGGGTACTTTGCACGCAAGACGTTTGGATCATTAGCGCGACGTATCTGATCCCATGTCATAGACTTTAGTGCGATGCATAATCCAAATAAAGTCAATTCACTTCTCTAAAACTCACAAACAAACTCAAATCATTTTCATCATTCGGGATCGTTTTTCAACTCATTTTCAGAAAGAGTACGTTATTATTCCGTTCTACCGCAAATAAGCATCGACCCTAACTGTTGGAATGTGATCTTAGCGCCACTCATAAAAAACACATATCGACTCGTACGTTAAACTACGACTTCTCTGACTTCCTCTTTATCTTTCAAATGAGGATACATAGGCACAAGACAGCGAAGTCTTGGCGAGCAACCTTCCCTCATTCACCCATAGTTTTCTGAACTACATTGACTCTGACTTTCCTATTGCACGAGGGAATACGTAGGCATAGGACAGAGAAGTCCTATCCAGTCTCCTTCTCCTTTTCCTTTTTCATTCTGGTTTTTGTTTAGCAGTAGGATTTAGATAACACACCCTTTGATTAGACAACAAGTGTGGATCCCGTTGAGTACAACGGACGCAAGGGGGTGCTAATACATTCCTCTCGCGTAACCGACTCTCGAACCTAGGATTTGGTTGCAATGACCATGCCTTCTCCCTTCTTCGAGGTTTTCTTCGATCGTTTCCTTTCACTTTGTCGAGATAAATAATGTTTGGTGG